GCCAGGCGCGGAGCAAGTGGAAGAATCTCGAGGGTGTGAGAGTATCACGGCATCAACAGAAACCAAAAGGAATTGGTTGAGATTAGCAATGACGAGTCTATGAATACCAGTAATTATCAAACTCTACTCTCCAATATCGTATGAGTTGAGACTAGCAGTGACAAGTTAATAAACACTCAAACAATTATTACTCTTATTTGATTCTAGATGTTTACACATAAAAAATAACTTGCCACATTGATAATTTACAAGGCATTAACTGTCTTTATAAGGTCATATCAATAATAACAATCAATGATAATTAAGTTGGACCTTATAGTACTAGATTTTTAAGCCTAAACGGTCAAGTCGCCGAGAGGGCACTATTTTCATCTTTACCATCCTATACCCTGGATGGTAATGCACATAAGATCATACAACGTGGTATGGAAGTGTACCATTGTGATATGGACATACCAGAATGTATATTGGTTGAATACATGATAGTTAAAATATACGAATTGTCATTTACCACAAGTTACCACCCCTATACCAGGGGTGGTATGGAGTGGTATATATGGGTCCTGTATTTTTCCCCCAAAAATTTGTAGATTAAATAAATCATGATTAACTAGTTTCATATGTGCAAATTTTTTCAAAATTCGAATTGAAAACATAGTTGGTACCAAGATGGTAATGATTGATATGAGTGGAATGATTTTTTTTCTTTCAAAACTTCTACTCATGAGGATAGATGGGGCAATTCAGGTGAGATCCAACGTAGATCCAAATTTCTATTCACTCGTGGGATCCGGGCGATCCGGGAGGGACCACCACGACTCCTCTCTTCTCGAGAATCCAAACATCCAATATATTGAAAACTGATATCATTTAGTAGATCATAACGAACTCGTTTCAAATGTGCAATTTTTTTTGAATTGAAGATAAGGTCCAATTAAAAAATTAATTAATTCGCACCCTACGTATACTAAAAACTAAGGACCAAGTTTTTTTTTATAACCCATGAACATCCCCACGCACGCACCGATTGAGAGATAGCGGAGTGAGACCAAAACTGAGAGTTTACCTGCTTGAGCCCTTTGGAGGGGTTGTGTTGCTTGATGGATTTGGATCCATCCTTGATCTTGGCCAAAGTCCTTTGTTTGGTTCATGTATTTAGAGGTAACAAGTTCGCGGACCCCACAGACTTTGAGGGTCCAAATCTGTGGGTCCCACTGGCTTGAAAATCCCATTTCTTTAGGTGGGAATTGATCATGGATTTAAAAGTCCTTGGTTTATGACCAATGCACCCCTTTTATTTACTTTCTTTTTCATACATATGAGAGCAATAAATTTCATTTAACTTCAAATATAATAAACAAATCTAATTAACAAAATCCATGATGAAATATATGAAAGAAATAATGGTATTTTCCAAGTCAATAATGAACCGAAAACCCTCATATATCCATAATTTTTCAAAACCCAAATACCAAAATCTTTATTTTTCAAATCAACCAAGCAAACCACTCCAGGACCAAGTTTGATCACACAAGTTTTTTTTACAAAAGATAATCAAATATTGATTGAGAAAAAAAGATCATTACACCCTATGCCTCAGCAGACTACAAAATCAATCGAACGACACAATATCGGGTACAAAGAAAGGGCCTTTCGAGCCACCACATGAGCTACCCTATTATTTCCCCGACCTATGAATCGAACACTAAACCCCCATCGAACACTAAAACCTCCTGAAAAATGGCTCGCCTGGTTATCCTGTTCTTGGGCTTGGTTGAGTCTATCAATAACCAACTTAGCATCCCCTTCCAATCTCACCACCGACACACTTTGTTGGAGGCGCCACAAGATTGCTTCTCGGAGAACCAGCAGCTCCACGACCATAGGATCATCTATCCCAGGGAAGAAAACACCAGATGCTAAAATAACCTCCCCACCCTGATCCAAGAGTATCACCCCCCCTGTCGAGTGTGACCCTCATCTCACCGCCCCATCCCACCTACAGACGATAGAAACAGGGTTAGCAGACAACACACCACCATCCCCAGTACCAGCGGAACCCACCACTGTATCCTTATGCAGATTAACCCACTCATGTAACTGTGAAGACACTGCCTCATCAGGGCTGGAATCGTAAACTGTTTTCCTTCAAAGACAACCCAGTTGCGAGACTTCCAAATCCGCCAGAGCACTGCTACAAAAGCCATGACTTGATGCGATCCCGAATGATGGCCAACAATTTTTTGTGGAAAAGGGGGAAAGTATGACGCGGAAGGCCTTGGCCAAGATGTTCTAACCCATAATGATCCCACAGGGCTCTAGTCACCGGACACTCTAGGAAGAGATGCTCTATAGTTTGAGAATCAGCCCAACACACCGGACACCTAGGGTGCACCTGGACCTTCCTCTCAATAAGGGCCTCCGTTGTTGGGAGGAAGCGATGTGAGTTTTGCCATAAAAACACCTTCAGCCTGGGTGGAATCGCGGACTCCCAATGACGAATCCAGCTTTTTTGATCCATCCAACTGACCGTAGGACTCCACCTCCCATGTTGCTTACCTCAAGGTGATAAGTCGATTTAACGGTAAAGACTCCACCCCCACTGGCATGCCAAATTTGCTTGTCCTCCAAATCCTAACGAGGCAAAGGAATAGCTTTTATAGCTCGACAAGAGTCTGGGTGGTACCACTGGGCAAGTTTGTCACTAGACCAGAGTCCCTCGCCCGGACACATCAAATCTGCCACCTTGAGGCTTGAGGTCCCCCTCTTCAGGAATAACCCGAGGGTTAAAAAAGGGGGGGGGGTCTGGATGTAAGGCCGGGATCCAGCTATCATTGAGTGCTGACACTTGCATGCCATTCCCAACCTGCCAGCGAAGACCTCGAACTAAAAGTTCACGTCCGTAAAAGATACTTTGCCACCCTCAGGATGGATGAGAAAGAGCAGTAGATGTGAGGAACTTGCCGTAGGGAAATACTTCCCCTTATACACCTGAGCAAGAAGAGACATGAGTTCAGTAAGTATTCAACCTCCAATCTTGGCCAATAACACCTGATTGAAATGTTCAAATCTACGGGACCCCATGCCTCCCTCATACTTCCTTATATAATAGCAGGAAGGGGAAAACTGTTGCTCCATGTCAAATTTTCTGCAACGACAATTACTTTTTTATATTCATTAAAAAGACACGTACTGGGATTTAAACCATGACCACTTTAAAGAAAAACAAGGATCATAACCAATCACACTAAATACATTTGTTGTATCTTTTTAAATTAAAAACATATAATAGCAGGGAGAAGAAACCCTTCCCCCATTTCAAATTCCTTGCTCTATGACCGTTTGTAGGAAGGGTACAATAGAGAGTGTCAATTTTTTTCTCTTTCCTCTGTGGAGCGTGCCAACTTACCGTACACATGCGAATTTAAACTTGTCCACGAGTGTCAATTTTTTTTCTTTAAGCCCTTTTATTTCTCCGTGGTGGTAAAATATATATGAAAATGCAAAAAAAACTCCTTTTATTGATAAAAAGAAAAAAATTAACAATAAACTAATGCATGGATTCTAATGGGCTAACCTCTAACCATACAATAAAAGAGTTGAATGGGTTTGACCTACACGGGATTTGGCCATCAAGTAAACAAATAAACATCATGGGTTTGCCATTCTAAAACAAGCTATTTTCTCTAGTATAATAATAATAATATATATTGTGCTATTATTTTATATCTTAGTGGCTAAAATATAATGTATTTTAAAGTTATTCAATGGTTCAACCACGACCAAGCCAATGAGTCCAATATTTATCATTTTCAAATATATATTATGTAATTATTTGATATCGTAATGATTAAATTATAGTGTATTTTATAGGGAATCGTTTGGTATTTGTTAGTAAAAAACTAAATAGAAAGATCTATTTGGTTATTTTTAACATTAAAACTATCATAAACATTTTCAGTTTCCTTTTGAATTTCTATGGTTTTATTCCCGAATCAGCAATGTGCAAATGGCGATTGCAGTCATCTCTTTTCTTTCACTATTTTTTATTTTCAAATAGAAAGTTTAAAAATAAAGAATAATTAGAGTTTGGCATGGGTCGGTCAAACAGGTTGAATTTCAAGTTTTGACCCATTTTGATCAAGTCTAATTTATAATCACATGGTTCCCTGATACATTATTTTTCCTTCTTTAGTTTTCTCAGGAAAAAAAAACCCAGATGAGGTGGTAGTTTATTTTAAGTCTCCAGACTGAGAAAACTAACTCTCCTACCTCTGTTGTTGCCAGCGCTTTCCGGGGCCGAGCCAGAATTCTCCCTAAAAAATCCGAAGAGTCTGAGACCAAAGATGCTTGACCGAACAGGGGCTTCCAGCAAACACCCACGTACTGTCAAAGGAAGGGGAAAACCCCGATAAAAATCTCAATCCAAACCAGTTTGGTAGGTGAGTCTGTGTTTACCACCATTTTCTAGGGATACAAGAACTAGGAGTGGCCATGTGGCTAGTTAATTCGTGGATTGATATCGATCCATCCGCAAATAACCCGACCCGCACGCAATGGATGTGGGTAAATTACGAATTGATAAATCTTCGGGCTAATACCACTACAACACCCGAACTATCCCGAAAATGCCACTTGTGTCCTATTGTTTCCAATATTCCATCTGTGTCCTGAACTATGATACTTTGTGCCATTTGTATCCTGGCGATTTCGTTGAGCGTTATCTCTAACGGTTGACCTGACGGTGGTCAAAGAGATGTTGACTTTTGCTGACATGGAAGAAAACGTGGCATCCACGTAGATGCCACATCATACCACATATACTTTTTAATTCAAAATCAAAATAAAATGCAAAATAATTAAACATGTCACATCATCAACCCATTTTTACTCTTAAACCCCAAATCTTCAAACCCTAAAAGACCCATCAATTCATTCACCGAAGGGCAGTCGCTAAACCCATCGATCGGCCTCCGGCTGTGAAGCGAGGAGAAGGAGTGTCAGTGGGTCTCCCAATCGCAGTTCTGGCAGAGAACGGAGCGCTCCGTCTCGCAGAAGATGGAGGCAGGGGAGGCGTCACAAGCGTCGCAGAGTAGCCATCGAGTGTGTTTGGTGAAGAGCTGGTTGGGGGAATGAACTTCACGGTCGCAGGCAAGACATAGCCTGGCCGAATCTGCTCTGCAGTACAGCACGACGGTAGCTTGGTTGCAGTAATCGCAGAGTCGCGACGACAGCGGCGACTTCGGTACATCGTCTTGCTCCTCGGATTTTGGGGGCGCATTCATGAAATCAGCCATACCTGAAGCTGGTTGATTACTCTTCGATTACTAGCATCAGTGGTAAATCTCCTATCCTCTGCTAGGAAATGAATCTAACCTTAGGCTGAAGCTGGAGGTAGCTTTACATATACAGAGCATGTGGATTGTGGATAGATGAGACAATGAAAGCAAGGGGAAGAACAATGGGAAAAGGAAAAACAAAAATAAAAGGGAAAGGGTAGGAGGAAAAAGAAGGGCTAATACCACTCTCATTGTTCTTCGACAGCGACGAACAGTGACGAACAGTGGAGAAGATTACTCTTAGCCTGATTTGAATCCACCATCTCTTCGACAGCGACTAACAGTGGAGAAGATTTTGAGCTCTCTGGCCGCCGATCGGATAGGGAGTAGTGGTTGGATGAGAACGGTGACTTCCAACAGAGCCGTCAATCTGGAGCTCGGAGAGAGAAGGGGATTGAATTAAGGGATTGCATATGTCGATTGTGAGATGGGAGAGGGAAAGATTTTGGGATTTTTCATTTTGTTTTCCTTGTTTTTATTATTTTAGATGGAAAAATAAATAAAAATTGATAATGAAAATTCCACGTCAGATGCCATGTCAACGTTGACTGGATTTTCTGTTAAATACTAACGGTCAACACCGGTCAACACTAACAGAATAATAGTTCAGGACACAGATGGAATATTGGAAACAATAGGACACAAGTGGCATTTTCGGGATAGTTCGAGTGTAGTAGTGGTATTAGCCCTAAATCTTCCACCCGCACTTATGTGGGTGGGTGGATTGCGGGTCACCCATATGACCCACATCCTATTTTTACATGAATTTTTTTGTTTCTTATAGTATAAAATATTCATCATATTTTCGAACTGCACTACAGTCTGACCATATACTTCAAAAGGTGGAGAATAAAGAATAGTTTTGATTACTATTATTGGTTTTGTGTTGTGCAATATCTATTAGATATTGGATATTGGTATGCAAATTATTGTTAATATCAATTAAATATTGGGATGCAAACTATAAATTATTAATTGTATCAAAATCACAGATTATTGATACAGTCTTACTAATTTGCTATGGACTTATTATAAATGTCAGTCAACTTTCTTAATGGCTAGTTGGAGAATTGCTTTTGCGGGTTGACCCACGACCCAACCGCACTCACCCTCCACCCACCCAACCCAACCCGCAGAGGTATGTGGGTTGATTACGGATCACAATTATTCTAACTCGCTGGTGAGCGGGTGGGTCAATTTGAGACCAAAACCCACCCAACCCGCCCATTGCCCACCCTTAACAGGAACGACGGTTCCTATCCCAAATCGTGTTATTCGTTCTTGATTTCTTTAGATTTTATCATGGCCTGGCAAAAACCAGAAAGCACAATGACGACAAGACGAAAGCTTTGTAAAGCAAATTAATCGGCCAACGGGCCGAGTAAAAGCTAGCAACGATTGTGAGATGCTCATTTCCCGAAAATCGGTGGGATAAGCGATTTTTTATTCGATTTTTATAAAACTTATTCCACCTCATCATATTACCAGAAACAATATTGTTTCAGAAGGTAACATGTACTTGATTTTGGTTCATAATGCTATTTTTGATTCGTGGCATCATTCATGTCTCTTTCCTGCTAAAATTCATTATTTTTATCACGTGTTTAAAACAAAAAAAAACTATACAACAATAAGCTATACACCCCATTACATTATCAAATTTCATACCTCACCTTACTCCGATCCATGATAGTATTTATTTGATCACACAAGGTTATTCAGTCTATTTTAAACATTTTTTCATTTAAGCATCCCAACCCGTCACCAAAATGCTCATAAGTCGTAATCAAGGTTGTCACCCCGCGGGTTGACCCGGACCCGGTGAACCTAGTGGGTCAAGGGCTAATGGGTCACCCGGTCTAGCCCAGTTTAGCCCGAAAATATGGAAAGAGTCATTATATTATACTTATTCTGATAAATTATATCAAATCTCATGTGACATATGAGTTATAACATGGCGGTGTCTTCGATGCACTCACTTTTTTGAGTGCACTGAACGCACCCACTTTCTTTTCCAATCTTGACCGTTGAAAATATCTAACGTTTCACAATAATTTGTGTAATAATTAATTAACTAATAATAAATACAACAATAATTATTATAAACAGTATCAACTTATTTATAATTGCAATTGAGGCCCTCATTAATATCCGCTGGTGGACGCTGAACCCGTAGCCCGCCACTTCCCTCCTCTTGCACGACCTCTTCATCAAGTTGTGTTGGATAGCATCCTAGTGCCATATATTTTGTTCCAAATGACTCGTGAAACCTCCAAATTGTTAGAGCAGAGTCAACTGAAGGTGTTATTTTCATGAATAGGTCAAACAAATGGATCAAGCTATAGACTATAGTTTCCTTGTCCTGATCGGGCAAAGCATAGCCAGGGGCAGGGTAATGGTAAATTTGCTTTTCGAATTCCTTCCCCAGCAAAGCAATTGTATTATTGGTATAATAAAGTGGGAAGAAATTACTAACTCCCAACAAATTAAGTACTAGAGAATCGACCGAGGTTAATTAATTAATATGTCTGCTACTGACGACAGAGTCGGAGGCTCGGAGCGGAAGTCGGCGGCGGCGTGGATGTGGAACTACTTGGGTTGGTAAGCCGGTACGAAGCAACCCAAGACCCAGAGAGCCGAGATCTGATCCTCTCCTCGATTTGCCAACACTCAGGCCTGCCTCCACCAACCGCCAGCGCTCATTAATTATCTCGATCCTCCAAGCGGCGATGCCGTTTTGGAATCCGATCACAGCGACGACTAGATGGATGATGTGGAAGAAGAAAAAGAAGAGGAGGAGGAGTTCAGGTATGCAATATTCGATTGGGACAGTGGTTTGTCGAGGGTGGTAGTGCTGACGGCAGAAGAGCTCCGGCGGCGCAGCCGCACAATTCTTCATATGGGAAGAAACTGATAATTGAGGAAATGAAAAATAATTCCCTCCTATTGTTTTATTAATTTCACGGAGGAATCAGTATGTATAATTGGACCGAAGAATTGATCGTCTCTTTTGTGTGAGGGAGAAATGGAGAGGTCTCTGTTGGTACGAGGAAGAAGAGGGGTTTGGAAAACAGGGGAAAAGAAACGGGGAAGAAGACGGTTAAAATTAGGAGTTTAATTGCAATTATCAATAGGTTTAAATTATTTTAATAAATAAAATATAGTTAATAATGAATTATTAACAAATCAAATTATTGTAACCGTTAGATGTATTTAACGATTAAGATTAAACAAAAAAGTGGGTGCGTTCAGTGCACCCAAAAAAGTGGGTGCGCCGAAGTAGTCACCGTTATAACATATAATATTACACTAAAATAACATATCGTACTTAGATCCAACATATAGTGAAAATTCACACACAATTATATAACATCAATATTCAAAATGTTCAACTTAGGATTCCAAAGATTGAGTTAGGCGAAAAGAAAATCGAAAAATAGGCGCATTTCGCAAACCAAAAAAAATAACACAATTTGACCTCCAATATGATTAGGGATGGCAACAAAACCCGAACCCACGGGTACCCATCCGACCCAACCCGGTCAACGCGGGTAAAAACCGTGTTGACGGGTTTTGGGCCGGGTTCGGGTTTAAACCCGCTACACTATTCACCGGGTTGGGTTGGGTTTGGGTTTAGGTAAACCCAACCCATGGGTACCCGCCCACACATATAATTACTTTTCCGGTATATTTAATAGTCTAAGTAATATATCTTCCTTAAACAACTAATATTCTTTATGTTTGTGGAGACATGTATAATTTGTTCTTTCTAGTTGTTTAGAATGAAGTTGATATTATGAAGTGGAGAGTGAAGAAACTGGGTTGACGAGGAAGAAGCTTTCAATTAATCTTATTGTTTATAGATGTTTATCTTAAATTTTGAACAATTTGTATTGATCATTTGCGGTTTGCTTGTATGCTCTAGATTGGTGTTTTTTGTAGGGTAAATACAATTGAATATCCAAACCTTTCATTTTAAACAATATAATAGCCAAACCTTTTCAAAAACAATTTAATATCCAAATCGTCAACTTTCTGTCTGTTTGACCGTTAGTTGACACTTCAAAAATGTTCGAAGTACGACACTTCATCAATATCCATCGATATCTTCTCCGAAAAACCACCAACATATCGTAGTTCCAAACCCGAGAAGTCCATGACTCCACCATGATGGTATAGAATATCTAAATATTCAGTCATCTGCAATGCCAAAACAAGAAAACAAAGTTGTATTGTGACAATTTCCCCTAAACAAAGCTTTTTTAAGTGTCAACTAACGGTTAAACGAACGAAAAGTTGACGATTTGGATATTAGATTGTTTTCGAAAAGGTTTGGCTATTATTAAAAGTATAATAGCGCAAAACACCGGTTCCTGTACATCTAGACTGTTTTTACTATTCACACAGACACAATTTGCTATTCATTTAGACTTAGTTTTACTATTCATCTGACAATTTACTGTTCGGAGTTAGAGAAGCTGTTTGTGGCTGACTGACAATTTCTCTGTCTCTTTGTACTGGTCATAGAGACCCTTGAAGAGATTGTGGGCCATTCATGGAAACAGTAGCTGCTTATTTTAGTGGATTGGAGGAAGCTGAGAGAAAAAGAGGTAGTCGCGGATTGGACTTCAGTCCTATTCGCATTGGTCACAGGGAAACTTTCCTCTGTCAGTTGCTTTCTCAGTGATTTGATGGTGGGTGAGAGACTTTGCTGCAGACTGGAGGAGTACGGCGAGTTGCTGATGGGTCCAGTTGCTAATTTATTGCTTTCGTTGGAGATATTGGGAAAGGAAAGAAGGGTTGCCAATGGAGACTGAATGTGTTCCATTATTTGTTTTTATTTTTGTTTCGCCTCTTCGGGTTTCTGAAAGGGTTTTTGGGAGGTTGTGCTTCTCAGAGAGAAGAAGCGAAGGAAGAGATTTTCACAGTGCTTAGGCGACGGGAAGTTTGTTTGGCAGATGAAGAGCCACGTATCCTTTATTTTGGCCATTCGTTTGACCTACCCTGTCTGCTCTCTTTCTTTTCGATTCCATTTTTTGATGAAAAGAGGGAGAAGATTAGAAGAAAAATTCAGGAGTACATTAATTCTCTGATTGTTTAGGTTGCCCAATACTTTCCTCTCTCCACTACCCTTCTCACACTTCTCTCTGCTTTGCTTCTCACATATGCTCTCCCGAAATCTGAGAGGCCGAGCAATCAAATGGAGGAGTAAAATCTGAGAGGCCGAGCGAGGAATCCAAGGAGACCCAGATCCGCATGGTATGTTTTATCTACTTTGGTGGGGTTTTTTCCTCAGTACTTAGATGAAGCCAACAATCTAAAGATCTATGGTGGATTGTAGCTCTGCTGGAGAGGACACACGGCGGTGCGACGAGATCGATCGACGGGAATTTGATTGTTAATCCTGATGGTTGAAGGTGAGAATACGATGGTTTTGCTTTGTCTCTCTCATCTGCGACTTAGTTGCATGTTTTTAACACCTTTCTTCGATATTTCTTCCCCTGTTCATCTTCACTCACTCGGTTTCTATCATTCATAATTCTGCTCTTGAAGGTTTGTTTTCTATATTCTCATTCTTAGATAAACTAATATCTGGGTTATGACACGTTTCCCTATCTTTTTTTTCCAGAAACCAGCGGAACTCGGAACAAGTAAATGCTTGCTTTGTGTGGTCCGAAAGTATTATATGACCCAAATTTGCTGGCGTTTCAGCTGATTCCTCTCTATATTCAGTTGATTTGTTCTCTCCGTCTCTCCCTCTTTTTAATTTTGTTTACTATTAAAGAAAACTTCAATTTGTAGGGGAAAACCACCAAGGCCGTTGGTTACCTGGATTGCTATTAGTGATTCGTTGGTGGGCGTTAATGCGTTATCGCAGTGGTGAAAGCAGCTTGGGTAGGTCCAATATATCTAAGTTCATAGTTAATTTACTCTTTTATTGTGTTTCTTATTTTGCTCTTGAATGGTTCATAATCCATATATTCTTCTGCTATTAACGGGTGTTGAAGATTGGCCATCATCCATGATTACATGGAGTAGAAACCTTTGAAGCCTTTTCCCAAACTCACAGATTCCGCATATGTTTTGTTTCCAAATTCTAATAATTTTATCTACCTGTACTACTATAGACTAAACCCAGATCTTAGGAAATTGTAGGAATTGTTTGGATCACAACATATATACAGTGATGATTAGTCTAATCCAGTCTAGAGAAAACTAAATGTTAATTCTCAATCTTTTTTTAAGCCTTAGACCTTAGTGTTGGTAGTCTCCTCTTAATCATTGTATTCGTGCTTTGCTGTGCAAAATAATAGAAGTTTTGTAACAAAATTGGTGAATTCCGATCGGTCTTCATAACCTTGGAAGTTCAGTGCTTTGGGGCCTGTTCATTCCTTCTCCATAATGGTGGATTCCTGAGCATCCCATCATGAATTCTTTTATTAATGATCTTTTCCAGATTCACTGGCGTAGTGATGTTCAACATCAAGTTAGATATGATGTGATGTCTGTAAATGGTGACATTAGAGTAGGGTACATGTTTGGTTTGGGTGCCCCAAAGGTTTAGATCGGATGCCTAAATCCTAATTATATTTCTGACTCTGTTCCCTTCTTTTGCCTTATATGCAGTTAATGTTGGCTGATGGATTGTGCCTCTGAGGGAAGCTTCTGCTGTAAAGTGTAATCGATTGATATTTCCTTCTCTTTCATTGTCAACGAGTTTGTTTTGGCAAATACATCTACTATTTCTCCCATTTTTATTTCAACCATCTAAGAAGAGAAAATGTAGTGACCCGATGATTCAGTATATCGGAAATTTCACCAGTTCACTTAGTGTTATGTAAGCATGTTATTCGTCACCTAATTGAGGACATGTAAACTCATCGGAGTTTTGTATTATTTCGTATTATGTTAAACCTTGACATAATGTTAACCCTTGGAGTGTAATGCTTCTCAATGCTGCTACTACTAGGTGAATCTAATGAAAATTGTCCCAAAATTTGCTTCAGCAGCTCAATATTGTTTGTTATATGATTTCAACGAAATTAGTTCATTTGGTTTCTCCGGAAAAAACTTAAATATAGCCAATATCCCGGCGCATAGCGCGGGCCAAGATACTAGTATTGTTTAAAATGAAAGGTTTGGATATTAAATTGTATTTACCCCTTTTTTGTATGATTAATTTGTATAAGAAAATTGATGTTAAACTTTTATTTTGAAAGAAAATTGTTATTGTAAATTTTTTTCCACAAAAACCCACGGGTACCCATAAACCCGCGGATACCCAGCGGGTTGGGTTGGGTTTGAGTTTTTCAAACCCAACGGGTTTTACCCCGGGTTTTTTTGGCGGATAAACCCATGGGTTTGGGTTTGACAAAACCCGCCCCAACCCGACCCATTGCCATCCCTAAATATGATACCTTATAGCGGTCGACCCGACGAGTGCGTGCAGCCCGTTTTTCTCACCCGGACAATGTCAAAGTGATGGTCGTAACAATTTGCGCGCGGGCGCGTTTCCTCTTCCTCTCTCCCAATTCCTTCCACCAGACTGAGAGACACGAAGAAACTCGAACGAAAACAGTAAGAGAGTGGGCCAAGTAAACATCACCGGACTTAACAATGCGAACCAGGAGGCAGACAGAGAAGGAACCTACTTCTCCTCCCCCTCCCCCTCCCGCTTCTTCAGGTTCAATTTCTCTCACTTTTCTCATTTATCATCGGAACCCTAATGGACACCTACTAGCTTGTTTCACTACGACGTCCTCTTCATCGGGCGAGTTCTTTTTCTTCCCCTTTCATGGTGTCATTGTTCTATATGGCTTTGGTTTTATGCGCAGAGTCGTTGATAAGATTGATGAATTGGGTTGTCCGCTTTATACTTGTAACGACCCTTGAAGAGTCTCCTCATTTTTCCTCTGAAAACATTGATGGCATCTTTTGTGGATGTTTATAGTTTAAAGTGAACATATGTGGACTTGAAGTTTTCTGTTCCCCTTGTTGTGCTTCCCCAGCTGCAAAAGGCAGTGCCAACAACCACGATGCAGAAGGCCGGAGTATTGCTGACTCGTCAAGGAACGCAGTTAACAGAGTCATACGACGTGTCAATGCTCGAGGTTCATTGCGGACAAAGAAAGAAGTGAGCCTGGCAATGCGATTTCTGTTGTGCACTAACCTACTTGTTTGCTTACTTCAAGGCTTCTGTTTTGGAGTCAGGAGTGGCACTCATGCTCTCCTTTTTTTTTCCCCGGTTGAATTTATCTGTGCCAGTTGCAGCAAGATAAGGGGTCGAAAAGCAAAGATAAACACATCATTGATGCAAAGGTTACATGGAATGAAGTGGATGCACTGCGTTCTGCAAAGGTACAGAAGGAAAGTGATGGCGGGGACATTGGTGCCTCTAGTTGCCCTCTTCAAAACAGCGACGATGACATCGACTGGGAAGATGGTTCTACTTCTGCTGCGGAACCTGTAATAACTCGTTCCAAACCAGGTGATGGTACCAAAACACTGATTATCGAATTTGGGACGTCACCTTATTCTGCCAGCCGAAAGCCTTCCCGTCGAGCTACTGCTGAAGAAAAGGTAACAGTTTTTTTTCTTCAATAGAACAAAGCTGCAGCTTGCTCTCTTTGTTACTGATTATAATCATGCTGGGTGGTTCAAGAAGCAAAAGATTTTCTGTTCTGTTCACAGGAGTTGGCTGAACTCGTGCATCGGGCACATTTGCTTTGTTTGCTTGCAAGGGGCATAGTAGTTGATAGTGCTTGTGATGATCCTCTTCTTCAGGTGGGTTTTCATTTTTCTTTTTTGTCTGTGTCACTCACTTGGATGCAAACTTTTTCATTGTTGTCTTCGGCTTGTATTTCAATCTTGTTTGGATCCGTGAGTGTTGGATTTGTATATGTTTTCACTTGTACACTCTAAACAGAGTTATTAATGTTGAGATAGTTCTCACCCAAGTGAAGTAGAACTACCAGGACAGATGCCATTGCTGTTACCTATTCATCATTATACTTCCTTTTGTATCCTTGAGTGTTTTGAAATGACTAACAATGAACCCTCAAGCTTTCCTTTTCAACAAAGATCTCTTGGGTGATATTGACTTGTGGATTTAATGTGTGTGTCAAAGTCCTTTGGGTTGAAAGTATATTGGTCACAACCACAGGTCCTTATTTAATATGTACTTTTCCTAATGGATTAATTTCACCAATATCAGTTCTCACTCAAGTGAAGTAGACCTACCCGGACAGATGTCAATGCTGTGAAACAGATTTGTAGATCTGTCTTTCTACTCAACAAGAGTTTCTGTATCTTTTAGAAGGGAACTAGAGCAACTACTTTCATAATCAGCAAAGTTCAAGATTTACCACTAAAGAAGTGCAGATGCTTGTTCTAAAAATTGAATCACTGAATGTGAATAGGATTAGTTTTGTGACAGAAAAATAGACTAACGCGCCCTATTTTGTTCTTAAATTTTCATGTTAATGTTTCATCAAGATTTACCAATAAAAGGGGGGGGGGGGGGGGGGGGGGAGAGAGAGCTACAAATGGAGGAGTGCAGATACTTGTTCTAAAAATCGAATCACTGAAAGTGAATAGGATTAATTTTGTGACAGAAAAATAGACTAACGTGCCTTATTATGTTCTTAAATTTTCATGTCAATGTTTCACAGGATTCTCATTATGCTTTCAAGGAGAGCACTTTCTTTGTTTCCTTACCACCTGATGGAAAAGAGAAGCATGTGTTCTACACATCTGATGCATCTTTTGTGTTTTCTTAACTGGCAGGCTTCGTTAGTATCCCTTCTACCAACTTACTTGTTGAAGATACCAGAGCTCTCAAAAGTTACTGCCAAGGCTTTGGCTCCTATTGTTAGTTGGGTGAGGCTATCTATGTTCTTCCTTATGGCTGGATCTGTGTTCCTGTTTCTGATAACTGGAATGAAATTTGCAGTTTCATAGCAATTTCCATGTCAAGAGTGCAGCCAGCAAAAATCACTCATTTTCTTCAGCTTTGGCTTTTGCTCTTGAAAATCGTGAAGGATCTGCAGAGGAGGTAGTGTCTTGGTTTATCTATGGATATGGTTCAAGATTATCAAATGTCAACTACTGTGTATAAATTGTCATTGGTAGGTGTTTAGAAAATTATGAGTTGCATATTTACGTGTTAGAGTTAATCTTTTACTTGCTGTTATTTTCTTAGACTTCATCAATCATTGAAGATAAGTAACCATAAAAAATCTTTAATTTGCAAGTGACAAACACTAATTTACTATTCGTCTAACATGTAGCCACATCACACAAGGAATGGTAGAGGATGCCCATTGTAGTATGTGCACTCCACGTATTAAAAAAAAGGAAAAATGCTCGCAGGAGAAACTCAAATTGTCGTGTCATTTTTTCCCTTTAGAAAGCAAGTACATTTATCTTCATAATTGGCTGCTTGCTTTCGCTTTCATGGTGTGGAGTCCTACGATAACTTATCTCTAAGATGTGACATGTAGGTCATGCAAATATTAGGGAACATGGTGATATTACTTGGGTGGTAATGTTCTATCATCTAAATACTTGAGTTAATGGCCCTGGACTTCCTTATCTGTCTTCAGATTGTTGAAACCCACATCTTGCCCAAGATGTGACACATGCTTCGTACTACTAATCATAGAACCATGGTGATATTCCACCATGGTAATCATTCATAAAAGAAATTTGTCATGCTAAATAGATTCTTGAGATAAATAAATATTTAACCAATTATGTGTCCATGATGTTCTGTGTAGTGCTCCTGATGGTTATATATAAATTGAGGGACACTTGCGTAGTGGATACTACAATATTGTCTTCTTGTTGGTTTGTTTCACTTGCACTTGGGACTTTTGGAATAAATGTTATTCATGGTAGCTTAGTTTATCTCCCAGAGCATGACTGCCTTCCCCGAAACATGAGGTTTTTTCCACTTTGCAGATTGCAGCACTGTCTGTGACACTGTTCAGAGCGTTGAAACTTACAACTAGGTACTATTTCTTGTGAAGCTTAAATTTCTTATTCCGTAACGTGTTCCATCGTTTATTTTCTCTGCAGACATTTTATAATATTAACCTGAACTAACTTCGTCTGCCAAATAAACCATTTGGTGTATGAATACAACAGAGTGAAATCAAAAGATATAGTTGTGGGAAGTAGAAGTAGGTGCAAGAGGTATATGACAAAGCTTAATGTGGGGACATTATCAATAAATCATTTTCTCGTTCTATTTGGCGAAAGATCAAGTTGCTTTAGTGTTGCTGGAGCAAAATTTTTAACCCTATAACTTGTGTTGATAAAATCGAGTACATCACTCTTCTTTAGTCATTGCTTGCTTCCCTGTTCTATGCGAATGTATGCACGTAAAGTCGTAATTGTCACTAATCTCCTTTTAGTTAGCATGGCACAACTGTTATTCTGAAGGCTGTACTCGACATGGATTCCTTGAGAATTACTGGTTCATACTTGAAGTCATATTGTCATAAAGATGCTGTTTTCCACAGGTTTGTGTCTATTCTGGATGTTGCCTCCATAAAACCTGATGTTGATGACTGTGAATCCTCAAGTCATAGTGCCAGCAGAGTGCGCCGTGGAATATTTAATTCTTCAACGCCTATGGTGGACAGACTGCAGGAAATCTCTATTTCTCCTAATGCATGTGAATCTTCATCTAAAGGCTTGTCCAAAAGTAAAGAAACGCATGCAACGCAGAAGAAAATTGATTTTCTTGGTCCTGATGAACTTAAAGTTGGACCGGGAGACTCATTACCAAGTGAGCCACAATGTAATTCTCTTGTACCCAATACTGAGAAGTTCCAAGGGTCAAAGCGGAAAAGTGATATTGAGTTTGAGATGCAATTGCAAATGGCTCTCTCTGCGACCGCAGTTGCCGATCCTAAAAGTAGTGTGGTACAGGATGCTACAAGTCCTAATACAGACTGTTGTGAAGTCCTCCCTTCACCCAAACGAGTAAGAAGAGTTGAAATTGATCGATCTATGCCTATCTCTACTGCAATCGGCTCGAGAAAAATGGGATCCCCACTTTACTGGGCAGAAATATATTGCACAGAAGAAAACTTGGCAGGAAAATGGGTGCATGTGGATGCTATAAATGCGATCATAGATGGAGAACATCAGGTTGAAGCTGCGGCAACTGCATGCAAAACATCTCTAAGATATGCAGTTGCATTTGCTGGGCGAGGGGCGAAAGACGTGACCCGCAGGTTTAAAACATGTCCTAGTTTCATTTTCGTTAGAGTTTGTCCCCAATGTACTATTATACTCCCACAGATTTGCTTTGGATTATTGATTTCGTGGAACTTCTTAAAACAGGGTTTTGGACTGGGAACTCTACCTTTTTAAATTGAAAATTCTCAGATTGCCCCTTAGGTTTTCCGTAAAAATTTGATTTGATCTTTAATGGTTGTGGTGGACTATTTTGCTAGATTAATTCCTTGTAGTGAGTAGGTCTATGTGGAAGAGACGACTTTAATCTGTTTCTTCATAAACCGTTTGGATAAATATCAAATGTGAACTGTAGCAGTAGTGATAACTCACTGCTAAGATGTCTTAAAGCTAAGTTCTCTGAGGACACTCCTTTTCTTTTTCTTGATATGAGATCGAGGCATTCTTCAATTTGATTATTTACTCCTTCCAGTGTCCTATATGTGGCTCTTGCCTGGTTGTCTTCTGAAGCAAAGAGGCTTCCTTTTGGGGACTTATATTTTTATTGTACGACTTTGATATTGTTGGATGCATATTTGGAACAGTGACTTTCTTTTAATTTTTATTTGGTCGCAGTTAGTTTGCTTCTGTAAAATGGTTGGAATGATTGTTAGATGCGATTAGTTGATCTCATTGCATTATACAAGTGACTCCATTATGCAATGCAGGTATTGTATGAAATGGCACAAAATAGCATCCCAAAGAGTTAATTCTACTTGGTGGGATACTGTGTTACGACCATTGAGGGAGTTGGAATCAGGGGCGACAGGAGCTCCATTGCAATTGGCAGAGAACGGTAAAAATATTTCTACTGATAATTTACAGACCTTGATATCATATGCTTTTAAAGGTTTGGATTGTCTTCTAAACAATCTGAACTTGCTTAGAGACTTTAATTCCTTGCCCACTGAATCAGTGATCTGACATAGGACCTCTTGTTTTTATAGGTGATGCTGTAGCCGGCCCCAAAGCTGATCTACAACCTTCTTGGATAAATTCTTTTGTTGCCAGTAGAGACTCTTTAGAGGATATGGAGTTGGAGACTAGGGCGTTAACTGAGCCTCTTCCTACTAATCAGCAAGTTAGTGATTATATTTTATCATATTCATTTGACTGTTTTATCTTTTGGATTACTGTTACATTACTTTATTAGCTTAATGCAGGCTTATAGAAGACATCATTTATATGCAATTGAGAGGTGGCTTACCAAGTTTCAGATACTCCATCCAAAAGGTCCTGTTCTTGGTTTTTGTTCTGGCAATCCAGTTTATCCTCGTGCCTGTGTCCAAACTCTCAAAACGAAAGAAAGATGGTTGCGTGAAGGGCTGCAGGTCAAAGCCAATGAGCTTCCAGCAAAGGTGTGGTGGATCATTGTGATAATCTGTTGGTTGTTGTGCAGTTTTTATTTTCGTTTTTTTGTGTGACTTGCATACCTTACACAGGTTCTGCTAGAAACCAAGAAGTTTCAAAATAAAGTACAATTCTCAGAAGGTGACGATTGTAACTCTAAGGGAAACTTTGAACTTTATGGAGAGTGGCAGTTGGAACCATTGCAGCTACCTCCTGCTGTAAATGGTATTGTGCCAAAGGTTAGTTCCTGTTACCTTTCGTTAACTGAATGTCATTCTTTTGCGACTTACTCCTGTGTGCCTAACCTGGATGGCATGGTCTTATGTACTTGGTGTAGCATGTCCATTCATTTGGTTTTTGCATTTCTGAAGTTCTTGGGAGTCCTGACACACAACACAATGTCAATCTTCATTTTCAGAACGAACGGGGCCAAGTTGATGTGTGGTCTGAGAAGTGCCTGCCACCAGGGACCGTGCACTTGAGGTTGCCAAGGGTATTTAATGTTGCCAAGAGGCTAGACATTGACTATGCCCCTGCTATGGTTGGCTTTGAATTCAGAAATGGTAGATCGGTCCCAATTTATGATGGTATTGTGGTTTGCACCGAGTTCAAGGATGTTATATTGGAGGTACGCCATATGTGTGTTGAAGTCGCAGTTTAGCATCTGTTTACTTATGCTGGAGTTTTGGCAGCTTTTTGTTTTGTTTCGATCTAATGAATCATGTTCATAAGAACTTGTGCATTGCATTGGCTGGCTGATTTCCCAGGCCTATGATGAGGAAGAGGATAGGAGGAAGGCAGAAGAGAAGAGGAGAGATGAAGCAATTGCTGTTTCAAGGTCGCAAACAACCAATAAAACTCCCAGCCCAACCTCCCTAGTACGCACAACCAACAGAACAAACAAATAAAATAAAGCATAAGGTAAGGCCGTAAGGCTCCAGAAGAATGTGCCAGCCAGAAGCGACGCCGGCGCCTTAATAATAACAACTAATTCAGCTCCATTACCACCAGAAAACAAAGCAATTGTCTTGAGACTTTATAGGACGATAACGATTTAGGTGCCCGAGTTAAAGAATTCCAATTCCAAGTGATGGGCGATATTCAGCGCATATAGGGCCATGATTATTTAGGCCTCTGCAGGAACAAAGAAACAAGAAAAACACAGGTCGGAGGGAGAGAGAGAGAGAGATCGCAAGGCGGAAGCGTACCTGAGGAGGGGAGATCGCCTGAGAAAAAAGAGCCGGCTGTCCAGTCTCTCTGGCTGGTGGGATTGAATACAAGGGCAGGGATAACATTCTAAATTTGGAGGCCGGCCATATGAGAATAAATTGATATAAATATATGGGTTAATATATAAAAACATCCTATCCAATCTTTTTATTCGTGCTCTCAATTATGCATTAAAGTTACGAAATTGGTCAAACCCAAGATTTGACCGTTATTTTGGAAGGTCAACGTGTCACGTCATTGCCAAGTCATTACAGACCACTTAAAATTTGGTTTTTTTCACCTATTACCATTTATCTTTTTATTTTGAACGAAAGAAGTAAAAAAAGGAAAAGAAAATTAAAAATGCCGGGTCCCAAAAATTTTAAATGATAATAGGTGGAAAAACCAAAAAAATTTAAGTGGTCTATTGCTGACTTGGCAGTGACGTGGCGCGTTTGACCGTCCAAGATAACGGTCAAATATCGTGTTTGGCCAATTTCGTAACTTTGATGCATAGTTGAGGCCACAAAGTTATAGAACGAAAATATTGGTCATAATGTTTAATTTGTGAAAAATTCAGGTCATACAAATATATTAACCCTAAATACATTTAAAGAAAACAATAGTAAATTTTTTTTTTTTTTATAGAAACCCGGTATTATTTCATTAATGTGTGAAATAGTACAGGAATCAGCTAGAAAAATAGATGGCATGGAAGTCCACACTTCAGTTTCATCCCAATTACATTGGTATGGGCCATAAGATGAGCGACCCGGTTATTATTCTGGCCCGAAAAGGTGACAGAGATTGAGCCCAATCTACTGAGCTTATCGCGAAACTCTTCGCAATCAACTCCTTCCTACGTTATCGCCACTACCTCCTTCTTCATTTTCTGCCACAATACTTAGACAATCCATTTCTATCTGCAAAGGAACCAAACCATGCTCCACTGCTAGATCCGCTCTCAGAGTGATCGCCCGACACTCCACCATCTCCAGCACCCACTGAGTCTGTCTTCTCCTTACCGCAGCCAGCAGGAAATTGCCTTGTTTACCAGGAATTACAACCCCAAACCTAGATCCCTCTTCCTCGAAACAAGCCACATCCACATTTACTTTGAACTCCACATTCGAGGGAGGGCTCCAGCGATACTCCCCCCTTCCTTGTGTGCTCACCTGCCTCTGCTGGTGGTCCAGGTAATCCGTTAACCATCTTTCTGCTTTACCCATAACTTCAAATTCTTCGAGTTTCTTCTTATTCCATAGTTGGTTTTTCCTTTCTTCCCAGAGGAACCATAAAGCCACCAGGAATTGACCCATCTACTCCTCAGAGATCGTTTCTTGCAATTCGGCCATCCATTCTTCGCAAGAGGTAAAATATTGTCCCTTCTCGAACAGTAGGCTAAGATTGCTAGGTCTCCAGACCCCCCTTACTCACCCACAATCTTGAAAAAGATGCTTTTGAGTTTCTTGAAGCCCGCAAAAGGGACACTCATCACAACCCTTATGAATTAGATCTATAATATTTTCTCCCATGGGGAGAACATTATGGATCCACTTCGCCGGAAGCTCACCGAAAATTGCCCCGCCAGAAAAAATTTGGCCAAATCGCTCCAAAACTTTGGCGAAGAGGCGCCCGGTCAAGAGGAGTATGGGTCTGGTTTTGTTTTTGGTTTTGAAAAAGGATAGTCGGAAGTCAACGAACTCGATGGAAAATGGATTGAAATCGCGATTTTCCGACGAGGTTTAGAGGATTCCGCCAAAAATAGGTTTGTGAAGAAGATCACGGTCCCCCTTTTATAGCACGATCCTGAGGTTCCCGAACGGAGGTCGATTTTCATGGTCTCCTAGACATATATGGAATTTTTTTATATTGATGCATCGTTACTCCACACACATCAATCGATGGAGTGATTCGTCATTGTGTGATGGAGGTGGATATGCATGATATCCTTACTCATTGTCACGAAGGCCCCATGGGGGGCAATCATGGAGGAAGTCACACGATGTAAACTGTGCTACACTCGGGGTCCCATCGGCCCATGTTGTTCAAGGATGTCGCAACCTTTGCACGTTAGTGCGACATTGCCAACGTTCAGGTAACATCTTTGACCACAATGTTGTGCCCCAAAATTTGTATATTGTATGAGATATTTGATGTTTGTGCCATCAATTTCATGGTACCCTTTCGTCCCTCCCATTGTAACAAGTATATCCTAGTTTTTGTTGAGTATACCTCGAGATGGGTTGAAGCACATGATTTTCCCACCAATGATGCTAGGAGCGTATGCCAATTTATGAAACATCTTTCCTGGTTTGGGGCCCCTAGAGCCATCATAAACTGCAGGAGTACCAACTTTCAAAGTGGGTTTGATAAACTCTTCTCTCATTATGGCATGACTCATAAAGTTGATGACTCATAAAAATTATCATTTTGAACCCCCATTTCTTTGGTCAAAATAGCATGAAACCCGCATTTTACTGCCATAATCACTTATACGTGCTCGATGTTAACTCAAGACTGGCAGTGCAGCCCCATAGTCATCTTTATCATGTTGATATGCCCTTTGGGTAGTATTTTGTGCAATTTCAGACCATGGCGTCTTTGGGACCTACCTCACCTTGATTAGAGACGTCAATGAGCAGTCACGATGATGAAACGCAGCTCAAGTCACAAAAGATAAAAATGGCAATCTATGTTTTGGATTGAAGACAAAAACGATGTCGTTGTCGTCAGTTTGATGGAGACGCATTTTGACAAGTCAGCAAGAGACTCCTTTAGCGCAAGACGAAATGAAGAGAGGCCAAAACAGTGCTCTAGACGTCGATTCTCATTTTGGGCAACAAAATTTGCGCGCTGTTTTAAGGGTCAAGGTATAAAAAGATGATTTTCGGGAAGCAACAGTCACACTTTGTCGGTTTGGACGTTCACTCTAGGTTAGCCACAAAATTACGAGCAGAGGAGCTTCTTGGAGGCACGAAAGAAGAGGGAGAAGTGAAGATCAAGGAAGATTTCGTCATGGTGACCCATGCACCTTTCTCTCTTATGACTTTTTTTGTTTGTATTAGTATCTAAACGTTAGATTGTTCAGATTATGTAAACCCTAGGGAGATGGATTGATTGATTTAATGATTGAATTGAGGTTTTTATGCATTCTTAATCGATTGTGTTTTAGGCAAGATTTGAATCCCTTCATGGTGTGGATCTGGAAATCCGATTTCTAAAAGGGGGACTCTCGACACAATCGCCTCTTAGATCGATCTTCAATTGATTAGACTGCACAACACCTCAAGGAAAAAATTCGTAGGGTTCTTGAAGCCTGGCAGTTTGGGTATTTATCGTGACATAAGACATGAAGAATCGCATATGTATTCAACCATATCGAAGAAATCATCGGCCCATCAAACCTAGGGGCACATGGCCTGGGCAGTCGTCTATTTTCGTTCTTGTTACTAGTCAATTTATCGGGATCAAATGCATGTTCATGTACCTTTATCACCGGATGCTCATTTACTTATATTTTCTCATATGAATCTCTTGTCTCTAGCTATTGGAGTTCCCATTTTAGTACCAACTCAAGATATGCTTATTGGGCTATATATATTAATAAGCGGGAATCGTTGAGGGTTTGTGTAGTCGCAAAAATTATCAAAATGAACGAATTTTTCATTGCTTTACGGGTCGTTTGCTTCATGGATTTGAAAATAAAGGTTTTGATAAAACTTGGGTTTTATAAAACCATGGATATTTGAGAGTTTTGGGTTCATTACGGACTTCAAAAATACCATTGTTTTTTTTTTCATAAATTTCATGATGGAATTGGTTAATTAGATTTGTATGTATGAAGTGAAATTTACCTTTATTGCCCTCATTGGTATGAAAAGAAAAATAAAATATGAGGGTTAGTTTGGTCTTAAATGATGGACTTCGAAGTCCATGATAAATTGCCACCTAAAGAGGTGAAACTTTCAAATCCGTGGAGTCCACGAATTTGGACCCTTAAAGTTCGTGGGACCCACAGATTTGTTGCCCCTAAATACATGAAGCAAACAACAGATTTTGGACAAAGTTCATGATCGATCCAAATCCATCAAGCAAAAGATTTATTTTCAATTATATTAATAGCTGTAGTTCATTGTGATCGAGTACCTCATACGATTTTGAGTAGTCGCAACCAAGTCAAGAAACTTTTCTAGTGTGGAAGATCGAGTTTAGCCGCAACCACAGAGCATACTAAAATTTTTCTTTGATGGTGGAAGAAAGAGAGGGAGAAGAGTGGAGTGGTGTGATCTGAGTGATGATGCAAGTGAGGGGGGGGGGGGGAGGGGGTATTATGGTTTTTTTGGGGAAGGAAACAGCTCACGATGTAGTGGAGCAAACCATGCGATTCGTCGATCTTTCTCGCGTTCAACGATAATTTGCTCCTCTCACTAGCGATTTGTGTGCTAGAAACGGGCCAAACAGCACTCACACTCGCAGACCGCAATTGGTTCACGCGATCCAGTATCACATGTCGTGTGTAATGTTAGCTCTAGCTATATGTGTCGTCCTTTATGCACCAATTGTGTTGCTCCAGCACGAACTAAGTAGATCACTCTAATTTTAGGCAAACAACTCTTTTTGTCCATGTCAAGGATAGAGGTGTAGTGTTGTGGTATATAATCCACGATTGAACCTCATATAATCCACGATTGAACCTCTCTCAATAACTCGAGTGAGTTATTGGGATCAACTGGTTCTTGACATGGTATCAGAGCCTTATGTGACCGAGAGGTCTTGTGTTAGATTCCCGGTGACCCCCATTTGTTAAGCACATGGTATTCTTGTCTTTAGACATGTGCAAACTTCCAAGTCCTTGTGAGTGGCTTTCGTTTGAGGGGGCGTGTTAGTGTTGTGATATATAATCCACGATTGAACCTCTCCCAACAACTCGAGTTATTGGTCATTGCCCTTATTTTATGGATCCTATGGAAACTCAAGAACGAAAAATCAAGGAAGGGCAGAAATTATGCACATAATACGTACTTGGATCCAAATCAACAAGCAAGCACAGGATAGCGTCCAATAAGTTACCAGTTCAAATCAATATGGAAATTCAGCAGATTGGCTGGGCTCCTCCTTACAAAGAAGCATACCAATGCGTTAAAAGCCACCGCAACGGTAATAGAAACTTAATTGAGATAAAGCTGCAGTATATTTATTTTCTAAAGTACGACTCAGCAGTTACATACCCTCAACAAAGGTTTGGTACAGTAGCCGAAAATCGCAGCCAAAATAACTAGGCAACAGCCAAAGGATCAAATAACACAAACGACAATTGTTTTACTACATATCGCGAGAGAAGCAAAAGGGTAAAAGGAAGAAGAAAAAATCCCTCTCAAATCCTAAAGTACTTCCTTTAAAAAAAACGACTTCCTTTCGACTGGCGCCCTATCAGGAAAGCACTTTCTCAACCTCAACTGTAACCTCTTTGGGAGGTTTCTCTGCATGAAGATCCGCAACAACGCCCTTCTGCTTGTAATAGCTAATAACCTGCATTTAAACCAACTGTAAGTATGAGCCTCATAACTAGTCATAGTTTAACGAGGTTCATGTGCTACAGCAGCCTAATATTAGTAGAGGTTTCAATAGCTTCCCAAGTATAATCTGCAGAGTATACCCAAAAATAACCAGTCTACCCATCGACAGAAGAACCTAGCCTAGATCAAAGAAGCCTACAAATGGATGAAAAACATACTGGTTCAGTCTGCTTGTGGAAGGCATCCAGCCTTGACTTGAGGACTGCAGCGGTATCATCTTTACGTTGAATCAAAGGCTCTCCAGTTACCTTGACAATATTAAACCAACAAAGCTTTTTGTTAACATATTTTGACATCAACCAGGAATTAATTTCAATAATGCAACCTAAGGCCTGAGCCATAACGATTGCTTCTAAGAGAAAAACGTGTACGCTATGCACCGATTAGCCAACCATGATGCATGAACCACCTAATAGTGACATGACATACATCTACTTTGGTGCCTGATACTTACTATTCAAGTTTCAGGATATCAAGCAATTACTATTCTTTTCATGGAACGAGTGGATTATGTATAAAAACCAGTTTTCCTTACATCATCAACGCCTGGGGATTTTGGAGGTGCAAATTTCGTGTGGTAGGTTCTACCACTAGAAGGGTGGATCCAACGACCCGTAATCCTCTCTTCCAAAATAGCATCATCAATAGCAAAATTCAGCACCTTATCAACTTTAACTCCTTGCTTCTCAAGCATCTCATCAAGCTGCAATATAAAGTCAGAAATTGTTAGACCTTGCACGAGGATACCTCTTGTAAACACAATATGGTATGATTCCGTGAACACCTTCTTTGCTTGGACCACAGTCCTAGGGAACCCATCAAGAATGAAGCCTTTCTGACAAGACGGCTTCTTGACTGCTTCATCAATAATTCCAACCACCAAGTCATCAGAAACAAGTTGTCCCTGAGGAAAAAGCAAATTCCAGATACTCATATTAGTACATTCAGCAATTAGCAAAAAGGAAGAAGAAACTAATGATTTATAGTGTATTCAACCTTGTCCATAGCCTCCTTAGCCTTAACTCCAAGAGGAGTTTTAGCTGCAACAGCAGCTCTCAGCATGTCCCCAGTTGCCAAGTGGCATAAGCAGAACTCATCCTTGATTATTGGTGATTGAGTACCTTTCCCTGATCCAGGAGGACCTGCCAATCATACAATTAGAAAACATGTTAGTTAGACGAATCACCACACAGAAATTGTGAAGCCACATGTACTGACAGGACTACAAGAAGACTTCTTGTTACTGTATGAACACTTGCTCATAAGTTTCGAAACAAAACTGGAAACAGAAGGAACTGATCTAATGGCCATCTCAGTTACAAGAATTCTAACAAATTATGTTATCCATGATATATGGGAGGCGCACTATACAGTCAGAACCATGTTTTTGCATGGAATTTTTTTTTTTATCTAGTCTATGCTGATAATACCAGGTTCATCAAAGGATTCACAAGACACATTGGCATTGTTATATGCTTCTGGGGAACAATTTCCAATACCAGCTCCTTCGAAGCTCGCCCTTGAACAGTAAAAGATCTAATCAATGCTAATGCATATGTTAAACTAGGATGAAGCTGCAGGCAGCATTGTATTCCTTCTCAATTGCGGCAACAGACCTCTCAACTGTGTTGAAAGGCAAGGGACTACAATTCCATAATCCACAAGGATAAATCAAAGAGAAAGCTTGCAATCCCCACATCGATAAATGCATGTCTTGAACCCAAACCAGAAGCTATATGGATGCTATGATACGTCAACTGATACACTGAACAAAGAAGCAAACTTTTGTTCTACCAAGATCCAGCTGTTAACCGAGAGTGAGACCCCAAAAATAAAAGGCACAACATAGAAACACACGGTAAGTTGAATTCGAATAGAACAAACAAAACTCCATTGGCAAGAGAGCTTCGCCAAACTTTTGAACTAAGAAAATTGGAAGCACTCAGATCTGAGGGAAACAAACAAGACCCAGAACACCAATGACGCACAGCAGCACAACAAGCGCCGGCTAGGGACTAGGGTTCACTACCGAGTCTGAAAGCTGAACAACGAAAAGATAGGGGGGAACGAAAGGCAGGCGTTAAAAAAGGGAATACCGATGAGAATAAGGCGCTTATCAGGCTTGGAAGCGCACTTCATGCGGCGGAGAAGCTCGGTCATAAGATCCATGGATGGCACATCTTCCAAAGTCGCCGCCGAACTGGTTGCCATTCTCACCACGGGGCAGGGATGCCAAACCCGGTTGCTGAAAGGAGGAACAAGAGAGGAAACGCAAGAGAGTTGGCAGGATGAGAAGAAATAAAGAATAGTGTTTTTTTTAAGGGGGGAGAAGAAAGTTAGGTGCTTTACTTGCTTGCTTCGCACTGTCTGTCTGGTCGGACCTTCCAATGCTTCAGTCGGAACTCGGAAGAAGAGTGATCTCGGCTCGGGTCTCCGTCGCTCACCAAACGTTCTCCAACCCCTCTTGTTTTTGGAGTTGATAAAGGTCGTCCTAACAATTACTAATAATCGTTCTAAAAAACAACAAAGTTACACTTTTAACCTTTTAACATCTTTACCTTTCCTTTAGCAAACAAACACCACCTTCACTTAGAAAGCAAAAAACACTCATTCTCCCACACTCTCGAATTCATCATCGACATTTGGAAGCCGAAATCGTCGAGCATACGTCCGAACAATGAGTAGCGACTCCGACGAGGTAAAAATCTCGTTTTTTTTTTAAAAAAACC